GGATCCAAAACCCAGAGACTGGTGAAGGACCAGGCTGAGTCCTAATGAGGCTGAGGTTTCTCACCTGAGCACTTGAGTTCCAGACTCTGTGATGATTGAGATGGATCCTCAAAGCAGTCCATCAGTTCAGTCTCCTCACACTCATGTTTGACTTTCACAGATGTTTGTTTAGAGTTTGGTCTTTCCCTCAAAGACAGAGCGGAGCCACAGTCCAGAGCAGAGCAGATTCTGGATCCAAACTCCAGGATAACATCTTCTGGATGCACTGTAGTCCAGTCCAGACTTGGTCTCTGCAGCTGCACCTCCCCCTGACAGCGGCCGGCTCCTCCCTCCAGCCTCAGACCGAGAGGCCCTGCTCACAGGGACATGGGTTATTACACAGGACCACAACAACACCGAGCTCAGGGACCAGCAGAACCCAGTGACATCCACATGGTGAGGCTTTGCCCTTTGTCAGTCAGAACTCATACTCAAGTGTGTGTGTCTGTCTTTGTGTGTGTCTGTGTGTGTGTGTGTGTGTGTCTGTCTGTCTGTCTTTGTGTGTGTTTCTGTGTGTGTGTCTGTCTTTGTGTGTGTGTGTGTGTGTGTCTGTCTGTGTGTGTGTCTGTCTTTGTGTGTGTGTGTGTGTGTGTGTCTGTCTTTGTGTGTGTATCTGTGTCTGTCTCTGTGTGTCTCTGTGTGTGTCTGTCTTTGTCTTTGTGTGTGTGTGTCTTTGAGTGTGTGTGTCTGTCTCTGTGTGTGTGTGTGTCTGTCTTTGTGTGTGTCTGTCTCTGTGTGTGTGTGTGTGTGTCTGTGTGTGTGTCTTTGAGTGTGTGTGTGTGTGTGTGTGTGTGTCTATGTTTGTGTGTGTGTGTGTGTCTGTCTTTGTGTGTGTCTGTCTCTGTGTGTGTGTGTGTGTCTGTCTTTGTGTGTCTGTGTCTGTCTCTGTGTGTGTGTGTCTGTCTTTGAGTGTGTGTGTGTGTGTGTGTCTCTCTCTGTGTGTGTGTGTGTGTGTGTCTCTGTGTGTGTCTGTCTTTGTGTGTGTGTGTCTTTGAGTGTGTGTGTCTGTCTCTGTGTTTGTGTGTGTCTGTCTTTGTGTGTGTGTGCGTGTGTCTGTGTTTGTGTGTGTGTGTCTTTGTGTGTGTGTGTGTGTGTCTTTGAGTGTGTGTGTGTGTGTGCCTGTCTTTGTGCACTTGTTTTCAACTCCTGGTGGGTTCCATAACCTGAGATTCCACTCACGTCATGGGGACTGGTTTTACGTGGTGGGGCCCGAACACCGGACCCCACTGGTCCAAGCTTAATAATCAATGGGTAATGCTTTTCTAACGGTCCTTATGCAGTCTCTGTAAAAATATGGAAAGGACCCCTGGAGGTTTACTTTCCTGAAAAAAGTGTGTTATGTGTCGGAACCCTGGTGGTGGGTTGCGGGATATCAAGGAGGGGCACACTGGGGCAATTTCAGTCCAGCAGGCTGGAGCCAATCATGGAGCAGCACAACAGAGGAAATCAGGTGTCAGGCTAGAAAAAGGTGCAAGTGTGTGGTTCATTAGGCTGCAAGAAATCATGGAGGAGCACACTGAAGCGCACGCTTACAAACCACTGGTAAGTGCTGACTACAAGTCATGACTTCAAATTGTTATATAGAATGATTACAAATTATTTGTTGTTTGTGCAGCTTAGTCAAGAGTCCCTAATTGATGAAGTCGACTCAGATTCTGACGATTTAACTGTCAAGAAGAAACCTGTAAAAAAGTATGGAAAAAGAAAAATCAAAAACACTTTTCTTCAAGACTCGGAAAGTGACGAACCAAAGGCAAATAAGATTGTTATCATGCAGCTGCAAAAGAAGAAAAATGGGGGGCGAGTATACAGCAAGAGACACTTCTGCCTCTACTGTTCAATGTCCTGCCACAAAATGTCCCGTCATTTGACTAGAAAACATGGAAATGAAAGTGACGTAGCCAGAGCATTGGCTCTACCTGTGAAATCTAAAGCACGTAAACTTCAGTTTGATTTGATCAGGAATAGTGGAAACCGTGAGCACAATTTTGAGGTTTTAAAGGCCGGCATTGGAACTTTAGTCCCAGCTAAACAGCCAAATTGCCCAGTTAAATCCAGTGAGTTTTTGCACTGTATAGACTGTGGGGCATTGCTTAAGCGAAAGTCGCTGTGGAGGCATGTGGCCAGGTGCCGGCTTTCACAGAAAGATGCCCAGGCTAAACCAGGTAGAAGTAGGGTCCAGTCCCTCTGCTCCCTAGCCCAGCCTGTACCGGAGGGCATCAGCAAAAAGCTGTGGTCTTTAATTTCGGCAATGCATCAGGATGAGGTCACGGGTGTTGTCAAAGCAGAAAAGGGGATTCTGAGACTCGGAGAGCACCTGTACTTAAAACACGGGCATGATAAGACAAAGCATGATTACATTAGGCAGAAAATGAGAGAAGTCGGTAGGTTAATTAACGAAGCAAAAACCGCAGGGAAACTGAAAACAATTAAGGATTTCTTTATTCCTTCCAACTTTAACCATGTGATTGATGCAGTCAGGTCTGTGGCTGGATATGATGAGGAAACAAATCAATACAAGACTCCATCCTTGGCCCTCAAACTCGGCCATAGCCTCAGAAAGCTAGCAGATATTCTTGAATGTGACTCAAAAATGGAGCATTGTGTTGATGAACTATTTATTAAAAACCTCCAACGAAGCCGGCTGCTTTTTGAGAAGAGGTGGGACGTCTGTGTTTCTTCTGCTGCCCTACAGACCCTCCGGCAAGCCAAGTGGAACACTCCGGACCTGCTCCCTCTGACTGAGGACGTTAGAGCCATGCATGCACATATTGAGGTATGTCGACCTGAATATGTGCAAACCCTAATAATTGAGCCAACGTCTAAGCATTGGTCTAAACTGGCAGTTTTGACTCTTTGTGAGGTCATCATTTTCAATCGAAGAAGGGAAGGTGAGGTTTCAAAGATGCCACTGACAGCCTTTACCTTAAGAAGTAAGACTGGGATCCATTCTGACATTGCTCTGGGACTGTCCCAACTTGAGAAAAAGCTGTGTCAGCATTTTCAACGCATTGAAATTAAAGGGAAAAGAAGTCGGAAAGTGCCGGTTCTTTTGACTCCTGAAATGATTGCTTCGATGGAGGTGCTGGTGGAGAACAGAAGGGCCTGTTCCATCTCTGACCATAACCCATACTTCTTTTCCCGCCCGGGCGCAGACACCCACATCAGGGGATCAGACTCCCTACGCCAGGTAGCCAAAGAATGTGGTGCGGTGCATCCAGAGATGCTATCCTCAACCAAACTTAGAAAGCACATAGCTACTATGTCTACAGTTCTCAATATGAAAGAGAATGAGATGGACATACTTGCCAACTTCCTCGGCCATGACATTCGCATCCACAGGCAATATTACAGACTACCAGAGGGGACACTGGAGCTGGCCAAAATCAGCAAAGTGTTGATGGCCATGGAGCAGGGAAGAGTGACGGAATTCGAAGGAAAGAGCCTCGACCAGATACAAATTGAGCCTGAAGGTAATTCTTGATATTATTAAAATATGTATGATTTTTTTCCCCTAAAGGCCACTTGTATTTTTATTTTCTGTGCGACAGGGAGAGCAGTAGAGATCCTCTCACAAACGGACGGGCTAAAAGAAACTTCAAGCGGAGAACCTTCAACCATTCATCCAGATGCACCCCATGGTAGTGGCAGTGCCCCTTCTGGTAAGTGTACCAGGTGGGGGATTACAGCCAGGCTGCTTGGTCCTCACCCTGGGAGTGTATATTGCTAATATATTTTTATTTCTCTCCCTAGAACGTGTAAGAAAGCCATGGTCTGCATCTGAGGTGAAGGCTGTGGAGAAGACCATGACACCTTTCATACAGACTGGAAAGGTCCCTGGGAAGTCTCACTGCCTGGCCTGCATTAATGCCTCACCAGATGACCTTAGACATCGGACATGGAGTGGCATTAAATTCTATGTCAAAAATAGAATCACTGCAATTCGAAAACAAAATCTAAAATAAAATTCCTTTAAAATAGTTGTTTGGTTTCTATTGACTGTTTTGTATTACTTAAAGTCTTGGTAAAAAAAGATTATGTCTATGGGTCCCATTCTGAACGGCCCTGTCAAAGGGACCCACCAGGTAACAAAAACGTGTATGTGTGGGTGTGCAGAAAGTGTTTTTGAGAAAAAAACCCAAGTGTTTAGGCTGTAGGACCAGGCACACGTTGAAAATCAGACTAAGTGTTTTGAGAAAAAACCTAAGTGTTTAGGCTGTAGGACCAGGCACACTTCGAAAATCAGACTAAGTGTTTTGAGAAAAAACCTAAGTGTTTAGGCTGTAGGACCAGGCACACGTTGAAAATCAGACTAAGTGTTTTGAGAAAAAAACCTAAGTGTTTAGGCTGTAGGACCAGGCACACGTTGAAAATCAGACTAAGTGTTTTGAGAAAATAACCTAAGTGTCTAGACTGTAGGACCAGGCACACGTTGAAAATCAGACTAAGTGTTTTGAGAAAAAACCTAAGTGTTTAGGCTGTAGGACCAGGCACACGTTGAAAATCAGACTAAGTGTTTTGAGAAAAAAACCTAAGTGTCTAGACTGTAGGACCAGGCACACGTTGAAAATCAGACTAAGTGTTTTGAGAAAAAAACCTAAGTGTTTAGGCTTTGAGGAGCCCGGAAAGCGGGGCTTACTTCCCCCGGGAATGGGCGCCCAGGCCCGGATCTGAGCGGGAGCAAAGCCCGCCCCGGTGGTAGCCCAGGTCCGGAGGAGTGCGTGGGTCCAAACCCCGTGTCTCTAGCCCTCATGGTTCGTTTTCTACGAGCCATGTAAGCCGAGGTTCTCCTCCCCCAGAAGGAGCGCTCTTGGGCGGATGGCAGGCGCGCGGTCCCCCGGTGGTTTCCAAGGGCCATAACTTTCTGGTCCTTTGTCCCCCGCGCGTCAAATTCACACCGCGGGTACCCCTGGACCAGGGGAGTCCCTGGGTCCAGACCGCGAGTCTCTGGGCCTCTGCGTTGATTTTTAACGAATTTCCGGAGGCTCTCCCTGTATTCCCAGGCACACACGCTTTTGGAGCTCAAGCCCCTTTTACGCAGGCCGTAACTTTTTTGTCTTTCATTTCCCATGAGTGAAATTCACGGAGGATGTAGCCCAGGTCCGGAGGAGTGCGTGGGTCCAAACCCCATGTCTCTAGCCCCCTGGTTCGCCTTCTACGGGCCCGAGAAACCGCCACTTTCTTGACCGAGAATAGGCGCTCGTGAGCGGACACGGCCGCGCTGTCCCCCGGTGGTTTCCAAGGGCCATAACTTTCTGGTCCTTTGTCCCCCGCGCGTCAAATTCACACCGCGGGTACCCCTGGACCAGGGGAGTCCCTGGGTCCAGACCGCGAGTCTCTGGGCCTCTGCGTTGATTTTTAACGAATTTCCGGAGGCTCTCCCTGTATTCCCAGGCACACACGCTTTTGGAGCTCAAGCCCCTTTTACGCAGGCCGTAACTTTTTTGTCTTTCATTTCCCATGAGTGAAATTCACGGAGGATGTAGCCCAGGTCCGGAGGAGTGCGTGGGTCCAAACCCCATGTCTCTAGCCCCCTGGTTCGCCTTCTACGGGCCCGAGAAACCGCCACTTTCTTGACCGAGAATAGGCGCTCGTGAGCGGACCGGCCGCGCTGTCCCCCGCTGATTTCAGACCGACGTAACATTCCCGTCTCTTGTCCCCCGTGCGTGAAAATCACAGGGTGGTAGCCCGGTCAGAGAGTCCCTGGGTCCAGACCGCGAGTCTCTGGGCCTCTGCGTTGATTTTTAACCAATTTCTGGAGATTCTGTATTCCTAGGCACACAGGCTTTTGGAGGAAAAAATGACAAAGTGTCTAGCGAGCTCAAGTGCCTTTTGCGCAGGCCGTAACTTTTTTTCTTTCATTTCCTATGAGTGAAATTCACGGAGGATGTAGCCCAGGTCCGGAGGAGTGCGTGGGTCCAAGCCCCATGTCTATAGCCCCCCTGGTTCGCCTTCTACGGGCCCGAGAAACCGCCACTTTCTTGACCGAGAATAGGCGCTCGTGAGCGGACACGGCCGCGCTGTCCCCCGCTGATTTTCAGACCGACGTAACATTCCCGTCTCTTGTCCCCCGTGCGTGAAAATCACAGGGGTGGTAGCCCAGGTCGAGACGTGTCCCTGGGTCCAGACCGCGAGTCTCTGGGCCTCTGCGTTGATTTTTAACCAATTTCTGGAGATTCTGTATTCCTAGGCACACGGGCTTTTGGAGGAAAAAATGACAAAGTGTCTAGCGAGCTCAAGTGCCTTTTGCGCAGGCCGTAACTTTTTTGTCTTTCATTTCCTATGAGTGAAATTCACGGAGGATGTAGCCCAGGTCCGGAGGAGTGCGTGGGTCCAAGCCCCATGTCTATAGCCCCCCTGGTTCGCCTTCTACGGGCCCGTGAAACCGCCACTTTCTTGACCGAGAATAGGCGCTCGTGAGCGGACACGGCCGCGCTGTCCCCCGCTGATTTTCAGACCGACGTAACATTCCCGTCTCTTGTCCCCCGTGCGTGAAAATCACAGGGGTGGTAGCCCAGGTCAGACGAGTCCCTGGGTCCAGACCGCGAGTCTCTGGGCCTCTGCGTTGATTTTTAACCAATTTCTGGAGATTCTGTATTCCTAGGCACACGGGCTTTTGGAGGAAAAAATGACAAAGTGTCTAGCGAGCTCAAGTGCCTTTTGCGCAGGCCGTAACTTTTTTGTCTTTCATTTCCTATGAGTGAAATTCACGGAGGATGTAGCCCAGGTCCGGAGGAGTGCGTGGGTCCAAGCCCCATGTCTATAGCCCCCCTGGTTCGCCTTCTACGGGCCCGTGAAACCGCCACTTTCTTGACCGAGAATAGGCGCTCGTGAGCGGACACGGCCGCGCTGTCCCCCGCTGATTTTCAGACCGACGTAACATTCCCGTCTCTTGTCCCCCGTGCGTGAAAATCACAGGGGTGGTAGCCCAGGTCGAGACGAGTCCCTGGGTCCAGACCGCGAGTCTCTGGGCCTCTGCGTTGATTTTTAACCAATTTCTGGAGATTCTGTATTCCTAGGCACACGGGCTTTTGGAGGAAAAAATGACAAAGTGTCTAGCGAGCTCAAGTGCCTTTTGCGCAGGCCGTAACTTTTTTGTCTTTCATTTCCTATGAGTGAAATTCACGGAGGATGTAGCCCAGGTCCGGAGGAGTGCGTGGGTCCAAGCCCCATGTCTATAGCCCCCCTGGTTCGCCTTCTACGGGCCCGTGAAACCGCCACTTTCTTGACCGAGAATAGGCGCTCGTGAGCGGACACGGCCGCGCTGTCCCCCGCTGATTTTCAGACCGACGTAACATTCCCGTCTCTTGTCCCCCGTGCGTGAAAATCACAGGGGTGGTAGCCCGGGTCGAGACGTGTCCCTGGGTCCAGACCGCGAGTCTCTGGGCCTCTGCGTTGATTTTTAACCAATTTCTGGAGATTCTGTATTCCTAGGCACACGGGCTTTTGGAGGAAAAAATGACAAAGTGTCTAGCGAGCTCAAGTGCCTTTTGCGCAGGCCGTAACTTTTTTGTCTTTCATTTCCTATGAGTGAAATTCACGGAGGATGTAGCCCAGGTCCGGAGGAGTGCGTGGGTCCAAGCCCCATGTCTATAGCCCCCCTGGTTCGCCTTCTACGGGCCCGTGAAACCGCCACTTTCTTGACCGAGAATAGGCGCTCGTGAGCGGACACGGCCGCGCTGTCCCCCGCTGATTTTCAGACCGACGTAACATTCCCGTCTCTTGTCCCCCGTGCGTGAAAATCACAGGGGTGGTAGCCCGGGTCGAGACGAGTCCCTGGGTCCAGACCGCGAGTCTCTGGGCCTCTGCGTTGATTTTTAACCAATTTCTGGAGATTCTGTATTCCTAGGCACACGGGCTTTTGGAGGAAAAAATGACAAAGTGTCTAGCGAGCTCAAGTGCCTTTTGCGCAGGCCGTAACTTTTTTGTCTTTCATTTCCTATGAGTGAAATTCACGGAGGATGTAGCCCAGGTCCGGAGGAGTGCGTGGGTCCAAGCCCCATGTCTATAGCCCCCCTGGTTCGCCTTCTACGGGCCCGTGAAACCGCCACTTTCTTGACCGAGAATAGGCGCTCGTGAGCGGACACGGCCGCGCTGTCCCCCGCTGATTTTCAGACCGACGTAACATTCCGTCTCTTGTCCCCCGTGCGTGAAAATCACAGGGGTGGTAGCCCAGGTTGAGACGCGTCCGTGGACACCTCGGGCGTGTCGGTCCGACACCGGGGGCCGGTTCTAGGGCGGTTTGAAAATTCAGCCCGGGACTCCCGGGCTGACGAGAAATAACCCTCACTCTGCGTCCCCAAAACGGCTATAACTTTCCCGTCTCTTATTCCAGGAGGCTGAGATTTTCAGGGATGGTAGCCCAGGGTGAGACGAACACGTGGACGCCTCGGGCGTGTCGGTCCGACACCGGGGCGCGGTTCTGTGGCGGTTTGAAAATTCAGCCCGGGACTCCCGGGCTGACCAAAAACGTCCCAAAACGGTTATAACTTTCCCGCCTCTTATTCCAGGGGGCTGATATTTTCAGGGATGGTAGCCCAGGTCGAGACGAACACGTGGACGCCTCGGGCGTGTCGGTCCGACACCGGGGCGCGGTTCTGTGGCGGTTTGAAAATTCAGCCCGGGACTCCCGGGCTGACGAAAAAATCCTCACGCTGCGTCCCAAAAAGGCGAGGTCAAACCACTTTCTCCAAGGGACCTATATGGGGAATATAGAGAGGGTGTTGGTCGATGAACAGAAACATAGACACATGTGGTATCTGCGGATTCGTCTCGACGAGGCCGTTCGAATGGTGCACACGGCATGCCCTCTGCGGGGCTCCTGGTGGAAGTGATCCTGCAGTACACCTCTGAGCTGTTGTTCCACATCGCGCGACTTTTCTACTTCATCGACGAAAAACACCAGAAAATGTACGATTTATTTTACTGATTTATTTTACTGATTTATTTTACTGATTTATTTTACTGATTTATTTTACTGATTTATTTTACTGATTTATTTTACTGATTTATTTTACAGATTTATTTTTGTGTTTATGAATTTCAAACGTCTTGGTCTCACTTCGGTCGAGCTGAAAGAACAGAAGGATCTTCTTATAACTGTGTTTATCTTTGTGAAGCTGTTTGGACTTTATCAGCTTTCTGAAAACAAAATGTTTTAACCAAATGTGTGTTTCTGTGTATGTGTGTGTCTGTTTTCGTGTGTCCGTGTGTGTGTCTCTGTGTGTGTGTGTGTGTCGTGTGTCCAGGTTCGACCTGTGGGCAGTGAGTTTTGTGTTGACGCGGATGGCCACTCTGACCCTCATGTTCCTGGCTGTGGGCTTCGGTCTGGCTCGATCTGAAAACCAGGGTCTGGACTGGGACTCTGGGAACTTCAACACAGTCCTGATCAGGTCTGTCTCCGCTCTCCTACTGGTCTCTCCTACTGGTCTCTCCTACTGGTCTCTCCTACTGGTCTCTCCTACTGGTCTCTCATACTGGTCTCTCCTACTGGTCTCTCCTACTGGTCTCTCCCACTGGTCTCTCCTACTGGTCTCTCCTACAGGTCTCTCCTACTGGTCTCTCCTACAGCTCTCTCCTACAGCTCTCTCCTACAGCTCTCTCCTACAGCTCTCTCCTACTGGTCTCTCCTACAGGTCTCTCCTACAGGTCTCTCCTACTGGTCTCTCCTACTGGTCTCTCCTACAGGTCTCTCCTACAGGTCTCTCCTACAGGTCTCTCCCACTGGTCTCTCCTACTGGTCTCTCCTACTGGTCTCTCCTACAGGTCTCTCCTACAGCTCTCTCCTACTGGTCTCTCCTACTGGTCTCTCCTACTGGTCTCTCCTACTGGTCTCTCCTACAGGTCTCTCCTACAGGTCTCTCCTACTGGTCTCTCCTACTGGTCTCTCCTACTGGTCTCTCCTACAGGTCTCTCCTACATGTCTCTCCTACATGTCTCTCATACAGGTCTCTCCTACTGGTCTCTCCTACTGGTCTCTCCTACAGCTCTCTCCTACAGGTCTCTCCTACAGGTCTCTCCTACTGGTCTCTCCTACTGGTCTCTCCCACTGGTCTCTCATACTGGTCTCTCCTACAGGTCTCTCCCACTGGTCTCTCCTACAGCTCTCTCCTACAGGTCTCTCCTACAGGTCTCTCCTACTGGTCTCTCCTACTGGTCTCCCACTGGTCTCTCCTACTGGTCTCTCCTACTGGTCTCCCACTGGTCTCTCCTACTGGTCTCTCATACTGGTCTCTCCTACAGGTCTCTCCCACTGGTCTCTCCTACAGCTCTCTCCTACAGGTCTCTCCTACTGGTCTCTCCTACAGCTCTCTCTTACTGGTCTCTCCTACTGGTCTCTCCTACTGGTCTCTCCTACTGGTCTCTCCTACTGGTCTCTCCTACAGGTCTCTCCTACAGGTCTCTCCTACAGGTCTCTCCTACAGGTCTCTCCTACTGGTCTCTCCTACTGGTCTCTCCTACTGGTCTCTCCTACTGGTTTCTCCTACTGGTCTCTCCTACTGGTCTCTCCTACAGGTCTCTCCTACAGGTCTCCCACTGGTCTCTCCCACTGGTCTCTCCTACTGGTCTCTCCTACTGGTCTCTCCTACTGGTCTCTCCTACTGGTCTCTCCTACAGGTCTCTCCTACAGGTCTCTCCTACAGGTCTCTCCTACTGGTCTCTCCTACTGGTCTCCCACTGGTCTCTCCTACTGGTCTCTCATACTGGTCTCTCCTACAGGTCTCTCCCACTGGTCTCTCCTACAGCTCTCTCCTACAGGTCTCTCCTACAGGTCTCTCCTACTGGTCTCTCCTACAGGTCTCTCCTACTGGTTCTCCTCCTACTGGTCTCTCCTACTGGTCTCTCCTACAGGTCTCTCCTACAGGTCTCTCCTACAGGTCTCTCCTACAGGTCTCTCCTACAGGTCTCTCCTACAGGTCTCTCCTACTGGTCTCTCCTACTGGTCTCTCCTACTGGTCTCTCCTACTGGTCTCTCATACTGGTCTCTCCTACAGGTCTCTCCCACTGGTCTCTCCTACAGGTCTCTCCTACTGGTCTCTCCTTCTGGTCTCTACTACTGGTCTCTCCTACTGGTCTCTCCTACTGGTCTCTCCTACTGGTCTCTCCTACAGGTCTCTCCTACAGGTCTCTCCTACAGGTCTCTCCTACTGGTCTCTCCTACAGGTCTCTCCTACAGGTCTCTCCTACTGGTCTCTCCTACTGGTCTCTCCTACAGGTCTCTCCTACTGGTCTCTCCTACTGGTCTCTCCTACTGGTCTCTCCTACTGGTCTCTCCTACTGGTCTCTCCTACAGGTCTCTCCCACTGGTCTCTCCCACTGGTCTCTCCTACTGGTCTCTCCTACTGGTCTCTCCTACTGGTCTCTCCTACAGGTCTCTCCTACAGGTCTCTCCTACAGGTCTCTCCTACAGGTCTCTCCTACTGGTCTCTCCTACTGGTCTCCCACTGGTTTCTCCTACTGGTCTCTCATACTGGTCTCTCCTACAGGTCTCTCCCACTGGTCTCTCCTACAGCTCTCTCCTACAGCTCTCTCCTACAGGTCTCTCCTACTGGTCTCTCCTACAGCTCTCTCCTACTGGTCTCTCCTACTGGTCTCTCCTACTGGTCTCTCCTACTGGTCTCTCCTACAGCTCTCTCCTACAGGTCTCTCCTACAGGTCTCTCCTACAGGTCTCTCCTACTGGTCTCTCCTACAGGTCTCTCCTACAGGTCTCTCCTACAGGTCTCTCCTACAGGTCTCTCCTACTGGTCTCTCCTACTGGTCTCTCCTACTGGTCTCTCCTACTGGTGTCTCCTACTGGTCTCTCCTACAGGTCTCTCCTACAGGTCTCCCACTGGTCTCTCCCACTGGTCTCTCCTACTGGTCTCTCCTACTGGTCTCTCCTACTGGTCTCTCCTACTGGTCTCTCCTACAGGTCTCTCCTACAGGTCTCTCCTACAGGTCTCTCCTACAGGTCTCTCCTACTGGTCTCTCCTACTGGTCTCCCACTGGTCTCTCCTACTGGTCTCTCCTACAGGTCTCTCCCACTGGTCTCTCCTACAGCTCTCTCCTACAGCTCTCTCCTACAGGTCTCTCCTACTGGTCTCTCCTACTGGTCTCTCCTACTGGTCTCTCCTACTGGTCTCTCCTACTGGTCTCTCCTACTGGTCTCTCCTACAGCTCTCTCCTACAGGTCTCTCCTACAGGTCTCTCCTACTGGTCTCTCCTACAGGTCTCTCCTACAGGTCTCTCCTACAGGTCTCTCCTACAGGTCTCTCCTACTGGTCTCTCCTACTGGTCTCTCCTACTGGTCTCTCCTACTGGTCTCTCATACTGGTCTCTCCTACAGGTCTCTCCCACTGGTCTCTCCTACAGGTCTCCCACTGGTCTCTCCTTCTGGTCTCTACTACTGGGCTCTCCTACTGGTCTCTCCTACAGGTCTCTCCCACTGGTCTCTCCTACAGGTCTCTCCTACTGGTCTCTCCTTCTGGTCTCTACTACTGGGCTCTCCTACTGGTCTCTCCTACAGGTCTCCCCCACTGGTCTCTCCTACAGGTCTCTCCTACTGGTCTCTCATACTGGTTTCTCCTACTGGTTTCTCTCCTACTGGTTTCTCTCGCTCTGGTCTCTTTCAGTCCTGGTTGTGTGTCTCAGGATCCTGGTGCTGTTGCTGGTGTGTGTCTGACTCAGTCCCGATTGTGTGTCTCAGGATGCTTGTGCTGGTGTGTGTGTGTCTCAGTCCTGGTTGTGTGTCTCTCAGGATGCTGTTGCTGGTGTGTGTGTGTCTCAGTCCTGGTTGTGTGTCTCTCAGGATGCTGGTGCTGTTGCTGGTGTGTGTGTCTCAGTCCTGGTTGTGTGTCTCTCAGGATGCTGTTGCTGGTGTGTGTGTCTCAGTCCTGGTTGTGTGTCTCTCAGGATGCTGGTGCTGTTGCTGGTGTGTGTGTCTCAGTCCTGGTTGTGTGTCTCTCTCAGGATGCTGGTGCTGTTGCTGGTGTGTGTGTCTCAGTCCTGGTTGTGTGTCTCTCAGGATGCTGGTGCTGTTGCTGGTGTGTGTGTCTCAGTCCTGGTTGTGTGTCTCTCAGGATGCTGGTGCTGTTGCTGGTGTGTCTGACTCAGTCCTGGTTGTGTGTCTCTCAGGATGCTGGTGCTGTTGCTGGTGTGCCTGACTCAGTCCTGGTTGTGTGTCTCTCAGGATGCTGGTGCTGTTGCTGGTGTGTGTGTGTCTCAGTCCTGGTTGTGTGTCTCTCAGGATGCTGGTGCTGTTGCTGGTGTGTGTGTCTCAGTCCTGGTTGTGTGTCTCTCAGGATGCTGGTGCTGTTGCTGGTGTGTGTGTCTCAGTCCTGGTTGTGTGTCTCTCAGGATGCTGTTGCTGGTGTGTGTGTCTCAGTCCTGGTTGTGTGTCTCTCAGGATGCTGGTGCTGTTGCTGGTGTGTGTGTCTCAGTCCTGGTTGTGTGTCTCTCAGGATGCTGGTGCTGTTGCTGGTGTGTCTGACTCAGTCCTGGTTGTGTGTCTCTCAGGATGCTGGTGCTGTTGCTGGTGTGTGTGTGTCTCAGTCCTGGTTGTGTGTCTCTCAGGATGCTGGTGCTGTTGCTGGTGTGTGTGTCTCAGTCCTGGTTGTGTGTCTCTCAGGATGCTGGTGCTGTTGCTGGTGTGTGTGTCTCAGTCCTGGTTGTGTGTCTCTCAGGATGCTGGTGCTGTTGCTGGTGTGTGTCTGACTCAGTCCCGATTGTGTGTCTCAGGATGCTTGTGCTGGTGTGTGTGTGTCTGACTCAGTCCTGATTGTGTGTCTCAGGATGCTTGTGCTGGTGTGTGTGTGTCTGACTCAGTCCTGGTTGTGTGTCTCTCAGGATGCTGGTGCTGTTGCTGGTGTGTGTGTCTCAGTCCTGGTTTGTGTGTCTCTCAGGATGCTGTTGCTGGTGTGTGTGTCTCAGTCCTGGTTGTGTGTCTCTCAGGATGCTGGTGCTGTTGCTGGTGTGTGTGTCTCAGTCCTGGTTGTGTGTCTCTCAGGATGCTGGTGCTGTTGCTGGTGTGTCTGACTCAGTCCTGGTTGTGTGTCTCTCAGGATGCTGGTGCTGTTGCTGGTGTGTCTGACTCAGTCCTGGTTGTGTGTCTCTCAGGATGCTGGTGCTGTTGCTGGTGTGTGTGTCTCAGTCCTGGTTGTGTGTCTCTCAGGATGCTGGTGCTGTTGCTGGTGTGTGTGTGTCTCAGTCCTGGTTGTGTGTCTCTCAGGATGCTGGTGCTGTTGCTGGTGTGTGTGTCTCAGTCCTGGTTGTGTGTCTCTCAGGATGCTGGTGCTGTTGCTGGTGTGTCTGACTCAGTCCTGGTTGTGTGTCTCTCAGGATGCTGTTGCTGGTGTGTGTGTCTCAGTCCTGGTTGTGTGTCTCTCAGGATGCTGGTGCTGTTGCTGGTGTGTCTGACTCAGTCCTGGTTGTGTGTCTCTCAGGATGCTGGTGCTGTTGCTGGTGTGTCTGACTCAGTCCTGGTTGTGTGTCTCTCAGGATGCTGGTGCTGTTGCTGGTGTGTGTGTGTCTCAGTCCTGGTTGTGTGTCTCTCAGGATGCTGGTGCTGTTGCTGGTGTGTGTGTCTCAGTCCTGGTTGTGTGTCTCTCAGGATGCTGTTGCTGGTGTGTGTGTCTCAGTCCTGGTTGTGTGTCTCTCAGGATGCTGGTGCTGTTGCTGGTGTGTGTGTCTCAGTCCTGGTTGTGTGTCTCTCAGGATGCTGGTGCTGTTGCTGGTGTGTCTGACTCAGTCCTGGTTGTGTGTCTCTCAGGATGCTGGTGCTGTTGCTGGTGTGTGTGTCTCAGTCCTGGTTGTGTGTCTCTCAGGATGCTGGTGCTGTTGCTGGTGTGTCTGACTCAGTCCTGGTTGTGTGTCTCTCAGGATGCTGGTGCTGTTGCTGGTTTGTCTGACTCAGACCTGGTTGTGTGTCTCTCAGGATGCTGGTGCTGTTGCTGGTGTGTGTGTCTCAGTCCTGGTTGTGTGTCTCTCAGGATGCTGGTGCTGTTGCTGGTGTGTGTGTCTCAGTCCTGGTTGTGTGTCTCTCAGGATGCTGGTGCTGTTGCTGGTGTGTCTGACTCAGTCCTGGTTGTGTGTCTCTCAGGATGCTGGTGCTGTTGCTGGTGTGTGTGTCTCAGTCCTGGTTGTGTGTCTCTCAGGATGCTGGTGCTGTTGCTGGTGTGTCTGACTCAGTCCTGGTTGTGTGTCTCTCAGGATGCTGGTGCTGTTGCTGGTTTGTCTGACTCAGTCCTGGTTGTGTGTCTCTCAGGATGCTGGTGCTGTTGCTGGTGTGTGTGTCTCAGTCCTGGTTGTGTGTCTCTCAGGATGCTGGTGCTGTTGCTGGTGTGTCTGACTCAGTCCTGGTTGTGTGTCTCTCAGGATGCTGGTGCTGTTGCTGGTTTGTCTGACTCAGTCCTGGTTGTGTGTCTCTCAGGATGCTGTTGCTGGTGTGTGTGTCTCAGTCCTGGTTGTGTGTCTCTCAGGATGCTGGTGCTGTTGCTGGTGTGTGTGTCTCAGTCCTGGTTGTGTGTCTCTCAGGATGCTGGTGCTGTTGCTGGTGTGTCTGACTCAGTCCTGGTTGTGTGTCTCTCAGGATGCTGGTGCTGTTGCTGGTGTGTGTGTCTCAGTCCTGGTTGTGTGTCTCTCAGGATGCTGGTGCTGTTGCTGGTGTGTCTGACTCAGTCCTGGTTGTGTGTCTCTCAGGATGCTGGTGCTGTTGCTGGTTTGTCTGACTCAGACCTGGTTGTGTGTCTCTCAGGATGCTGGTGCTGTTGCTGGTGTGTGTGTCTCAGTCCTGGTTGTGTGTCTCTCAGGATGCTGGTGCTGTTGCTGGTGTGTGTGTCTCAGTCCTGGTTGTGTGTCTCTCAGGATGCTGGTGCTGTTGCTGGTGTGTCTGACTCAGTCCTGGTTGTGTGTCTCTCAGGATGCTGGTGCTGTTGCTGGTGTGTGTGTCTCAGTCCTGGTTGTGTGTCTCTCAGGATGCTGGTGCTGTTGCTGGTGTGTCTGACTCAGTCCTGGTTGTGTGTCTCTCAGGATGCTGGTGCTGTTGCTGGTTTGTCTGACTCAGTCCTGGTTGTGTGTCTCTCAGGATGCTGGTGCTGTTGCTGGTGTGTGTGTCTCAGTCCTGGTTGTGTGTCTCTCAGGATGCTGGTGCTGTTGCTGGTGTGTCTGACTCAGTCCTGGTTGTGTGTCTCTCAGGATGCTGGTGCTGTTGCTGGTGTGTCTGACTCAGTCCTGGTTGTGTGTCTCTCAGGATGCTGGTGCTGTTGCTGGTGTGTGTGTCTCAGTCCTGGTTGTGTGTCTCTCAGGATGCTGGTGCTGTTGCTGGTGTGTCTGACTCAGTCCTGGTTGTGTGTCTCTCAGGATGCTGGTGCTGTTGCTGGTGTGTCTGACTCAGTCCTGGTTGTTGTGGAAGTTCATCCGTTTCCAGCTTCGCAGATGGAGAGAGTTCAGACTCGAGACAGCGCTACGTAAGAAGACCGCAACGAAACCGACACGACTGAAGAGGGACTCCTGTGAGTGTGTGCCTCTCTCTGGTCTCCCTATGGTCTCGCTCTATGGTCTCGCTCTCTGGTCTCGCTCTCTGGTCCCTCTCTCTGGTCCCTCTCTCTGGTCCCTCTCTCTGGTCCCTCTCTCTGGTCCCTCTCTCTGGTCCCTCTCTCTGGTCCCTCTCTCTGGTCCCTCTCTCTGGTCCCTCTCTCTGGTCCCTCTCTCTGGTCCCTCTCTCTGGTCCCTCTCTCTGGTCCCTCTCTCTGGTCTCAAAAGCCCTGTTTCCACCAGCCCTACCTGTAAGTCAATAGGAGCCAGAGAAACTTTGTCCATGAGCACTTCCCTATTGGGCTTCATTGAGCTAGCATGTTAGCATTGTCCACATAAACAGACTTTTGTCTTTTACATTTGTCATCAGTTTGGCTTCGAACCCGGTCCAAGCGCTGCTGGAAGCCGTGGTCGCCAGGGAATTTCCTCAGATAGATTTTCTTTTTGTGTGTCGGTTGCTAGGATACGGTATCAGATATTAAAGACCTTATGACGGGGTTTTAAAAAAAAAATAGTGGATATCAAAATTGCATGACAATGTCAATTTGAAAGAGATTCCGGCAAAAATAATCCTATATTTTATAAAAAAGAACGTGTTTTTCATGAATTTAAGTTGTCTATGCTCTAACCTGTGTGTGACGTCACAGCGGGTTACGCCCATGCATTGAAAACCATGGATCTATGCCACAGGACTGCCTTTTCTCTCTTCTCTCCACTGATGCCCAACACAATACTGCCCTCTACAGGTGACAACTGCTCACTACACATAAATTGCCGTTTTGAGTGTGAAAAAATGTCCGAGGTGGGATTTGAACCCAAGTGTCTGGATTGGCAGTCCTTCGACACAACCACTGGACTATCTCAGTGACAACGAAATGTTTCATTCTAGTAGTTATCTAAGACTCGCTGTACACGGCCTTGTCCTCTTGAATATCCGCGAAAAAAGAACGAATACCAAATTGTAAACAACTTACAGCGTTGAAACGTACCCACTCTGACGTCACCAAGGGCTGTGAAGTTTTTTCGTTTCTAAGGGCGTTGCTATGGGGTTATTTCGATTTGGGGGGATCAGACAAAAAAAACAACTGATTTTGAAACCTTTAGTAGTTCTCTTCTAATATAAAATGGTATTAAAACTGTATTTCTAAATAAATCAAACCCGTCATAAGGTCTTTAAAGGGTAATGCATGGACCCAGGCCTGTGGGCCGGTGGAAACGGGGCTATAATCTCAAACATGACCAACGCTGACATCTCTGGGTCTGAAACAGTGAAAATAAAACCGTGACTCTGACTTCTCTCTCGGCGTCTCTTCCAGTGGGTCATCACGAAAACGGCGTCCTCAAAGCAGAGAACGGAGCCTCTCCACGGATCAAAAAGCTGAAGTCCCCCTGAGGAGCTCCCCCTGCTGGACTCACCGGGGACTGCAGGGACCAGCATCAGTATTCACCAGCAGGAGGCGCCGCTCTCCACAGGAACAATAGGACCTGATCTTTGGGACGTTTACAGCAGAGACTGAAAACAAAACTCCACATCCAGAGTCTGCTTTTCCCTCGATGACGACTTTCTTTTTTTAAATCCTCATTTCTACATTTTTTACTGTCTTTGTGTAAATAAAACATGACGGAAGAAGAGACTTGGCTTTGAGAAAAGTCTGCATCTGTTACACGTTTAGCTCTGGTCTACCCTGGTCTACCCTGGTCTACCCTGGTCTACCCTGCTCTTACCTGGTCTACCCTGGTCTACCCTGGTCTACCCTGGTCTTACCTGGTCCACCCTGGTCTACCCTGGTCTACCCTGGTCTACCCTGGTCTACCCTGGTCCACCCTGGTCTTACCTGGTCTACCCTGGTCTACCCTGGTCTTACCTGGTCTTACCTGGTCTACCCTGGTCTTACCTGGTCTTACCTGGTCTTACCACACCATGGTACTCATTTCATTTGTTCTAAGGTCTGGATTGTCTCCATTGACTCCGTTACCAGGTGGGAGGGGCTAACTCCTTTTGCAGATTGAAACCATCTGAGTTTCAATCTGACGAATGTAATGAGCCCGAGTGAGTGAGGCATTTAGCATTCAGCCTAGCTTTAGCATTTAGCCTAGCTTTAGCATGTTTCCTAGCTTTAGCATGTAGCCTAGCTTTAGAATGTTTACTAGCTTTAGCATTTAGCCTAGCTTTAGCAGTTAGCAAAGGAGATGGCTAAAGCTAGGCTAACGGAGCCCGTGGGGAGTAGAGCCACAACATCTCTGCTTCAGTGACATTTACTAAACATTCCTCTTGCTCCGGCTTCAGTTTCTTGATATTTGGATTGAACCAGAACAGATTATTTTACTACCACATTCTCCGACAAACTACAACCAGAAAATTCAGCACAAACTACTGACGTCACCGACACGACCTACAACACCCGCCTCCCCCGCGGACTGAAAATAGTCTGTTCCAAATCTTTAAATGTGTGAGAGAAACTGGTGTCGAGCCTCGGAAACTGGAATTTGTTGCACAATTTATGATCTATCATTGAAACGCTCCCATTGATTTGGACCAATCACAGAGCAGGAAGTGACCAAAGACATGGACGGAAGCTCGCAGTGTGTTCACAGATCCAGCAGGGGGCAGCATCAGGCCTTTACAGACATGGAACGACTGAGGAGAGAGACCCAGGATCCTCCAAGGGAAGAGGAGAGAGACCCAGGATCCTCCAAGGGAAGAGGAGAGACCCAGGATCCTCAAAGGGAAGAGGAGAGAGACCCAGGATCCTCAAAGGGAAGAGGAGAGAGACCCAGGGATCCTCAAAGGGAAGAGGAGAGAGACCCAGGGATCCTCAAAGGGAAGAGGAGAGAGACCCAGGGATCCTCAAAGGGAAGAGGAGAGAGACCCAGGGATCCTCAAAGGGAAGAGGAGAGAGACCCAGGGATCCTCAAAGGGAAGAGGAGAGAGACCCAGGGATCCTCAAAGGGAAGAGGAGAGAGACCCAGGGATCCTCAAAGGGAAGAGGAGAGAGACCCAGGGATCCTCAAAGGGAAGAGGAGAGAGACCCAGGGATCCTTAAAGGGAAGAGGAGAGAGACCCAGGGATCCTTAAAGGGAAGAGGAGAGAGACCCAGGGATCCTTAAAGGGAAGAGGAGAGAGACCCAGGGATCCTCAAAGGGAAGAGGAGAGAGACCCAGGGATCCTCAAAGGGAAGAGGAGAGAGACTTTAAACCTGGTCTAGGTCTGAGCTGCTACAGACTCTGGGTCCTCTGGAAGTGGTCTATAATCCACTTCTCTCTCTCTCCTACTCTACTCTCTCTCCTCTGCTCTCTCCTCTCTCTTTCTCTCTCTCTCTCTCCTACTCTACTCTCTCTCCTCTGCTCTCTCCTCTCTCTTTCTCTCTCTCTCTCTCCTACTCTACTCTCTCTCCTCTGCTCTCTCCTCTCTTTCTCTCTCTCTCTCTCTCCTACTCTACTCTCTCTCCTCTGCTCTCTCCTCTCTTTCTCTCTCTCTCTCTCTCCTACTCTACTCTCTCTCCTCTGCTCTCTCCTCTCTCTCTCCTACTCTACTCTCTCTCCTCTGCTCTCTCCTCTCTCTCTCTCTCTCTCTCCTACTCTACTCTCTCTCCTCTGCTCTCTCCTCTCTCTCTCTCCTACTCTACTCTCTCTCCTCTGCTCTCTCCTCTCTCTCTCTCTCTCTCCTACTCTACTCTCTCTCCTCTGCTCTCTCCTCTCTCTTTCTCTCTCTCTCTCTCCTACTCTACTCTCTCTCCTCTCTCTTTCTCTCTCTCTCTCTCTCCTACTCTACTCTCTCTCCTCTGCTCTCTCCTCTCTTTCTCTCTCTCTCTCTCTCCTACTCTACTCTCTCTCCTCTGCTCTCTCCTCTCTTTCTCTCTCTCTCTCTCTCCTACTCTACTCTCTCTCCTCTGCTCTCTCCTCTCTCTCTCCTACTCTACTCTCTCTCTCTGCTCTCTCTCTCTCTCTCTCTCTCTCTCTCTCCTACTCTACTCTCTCTCCTCTGCTCTCTCTCTCTCTCTCTCTCCTTCTCTACTCTCTCTCCTCTGCCTCTCTCCTCTCTCTCTCTCTCTCTCTCCTACTCTACCTCTCTCTCTCTCTGCTCTCTCTCCTCTCTCTCTCTCTCTTCTCTCTCTCTCTCTCTCTCCTACTCTCTCTCTCTCTCCTCTGCTCTCTCTCTCTCTCTCTCTCTCTCTCTCTCTCCTACTCTACTCTCTCTCCTCTGCTCTCTCCTCTCTCTCTCTCTCTCTCTCCTACTCTACTCTCTCTCCTCTGCTCTCTCTCCTCTCTCTCTCTCTCTCTCTCTCTCTCTCTCTCTCTCCTACTCTACTCTCTCTCCTCTCTCTCTCTCTCTCTCTCTCTCTCTCTCTCTCTCTCTCTCTCTCTCTCCTACTCTACTCTCTCTCCTCTGCTCTCTCCTCTCTCTCTCTCTCTCTCTCCTACTCTACTCTCTCTCCTCTGCTCTCTCCTCTCTCTCTCTCTTCCTCTCTCTCTCTCCTACTCTACTCTCTCCTCTCTCCTCTGCTCTCTCCTCTCTCTCTGCTCTCTCCTCTCTCTCTCTCGTGTTTTGTCCAGAGCAGAGGTTTTGCAGTTACAGCATTCCATATTATTTTTAGTTCATTTCTCTAACGACATTATTATTATTAAAAGGACATTTTCAAACGTCTTGTCTGTGTTTTGTGGATTCAATGGGAATAAAACCTTTTAGTTTGATTCTGTAACAAAAGTCCATCGATGGTAGAACAGTTATCATTCAGCCAACTTCAGGTCCATCGTAGCTCGTCAGAACAGACAGGATACAGAATAGAAATTCGACTCGGGTTCTGATAATAAAACAATCTATGATGTCATACCATACCCCACTAAACCATACCAAACCATACCGTTTATCATACTACACCATGCCAAACCATACCGTTTATCATACTACACCATGCCAAACCATACCATACCATACCATGCTAAACCATACCATCCCATACGTTTAACACATTTAGGACTCAATTAAAAAACTGGTTGAAATCCAATCAGCGATGTGCTCATTAGAGCCTACACAGAACTCTTGGTGCAGGACTGGTCCAAGGATCAGGTCTTGGTGCAGGACTGGTCCAAGGATCACGTCTTGGTGCAGGACTGGTCCAAGGATCAGGTCTTGGTGCAGGACTGGTCCAAGGATCAGGTCTTGGTGCAGGACTGGTCCAAGGATCAGGTCTTGGTGCAGGACTGGTCCAAGGATCAGGTCTTGGTGCAGGACTGGTCCAAGGATCACGTCTTGGTGCAGGACTGGTCCAAGGATCAGGTCTTGGTGCAGGACTGGTCCAAGGATCAGGTCTTGGTGCAGGACTGGTCCAAGGATCAGGTCTTGGTGCAGGACTGGTCCAAGGATCAGGTCTTGGTACAGGACTGGTCCAAGGATCAGGTCTTGGTGCAGGACTGGTCCAAGGATCAGGTCTTGGTGCAGGACTGGTCCAAGGATCAGGTCTTGGTGCAGGACTGGTCCAAGGATCAGGTCTTGGTGCAGGACTGGTCCAAGGATCAGGTCTTGGTGCAGGACTGGTCCAAGGATCAGGTCTTGGTACAGGACTGGTCCAAGGATCAGGTCTTGGTACAGGACTGGTCCAAGGATCAGGTCTTGGTGCAGGACTGGTCCAAGGATCAGGTCTTGGTGCAGGACTGGTCCAAGGATCAGGTCTTGGTGCAGGACTGGTCCCAAGGATCAAGGAGGTCTTGGTGCAGGACTGGTCCAAGGATCACGTCTTGGTGCAGGACTGGTCCAAGGATCAGGTCTTGGTGCAGGACTGGTCCAAGGATCAGGTCTTGGTGCAGGACTGGTCCAAGGATCAGGTCTTGGTGCAGGACTGGTCCAAGGATCAGGTCTTGGTACAGGACTGGTCCAAGGATCAGGTCTTGGTGCAGGACTGGTCCAAGGATCAGGTCTTGGTGCAGGACTGGTCCAAGGATCAGGTCTTGGTGCAGGACTGGTCCAAGGATCAGGTCTTGGTGCAGGACTGGTCCAAGGATCAGGTCTTGGTACAGGACTGGTCCAAGGATCAGGTCTTGGTACAGGACTGGTCCAAGGATCAGGTCTTGGTGCAGGACTGGTCCAAGGATCAGGTCTTGGTGCAGGACTGGTCCAAGGATCACGTCTTGGTGCAGGACTGGTCCAAGGATCACGTCTTGGTGCAGGACTGGTCCAAGGATCAGGTCTTGGTGCAGGACTGGTCCAAGGATCAGGTCTTGGTGCAGGACTGGTCCAAGGATCAGGTCTTGGTGCAGGACTGGTCCAAGGATCAGGTCTTGGTACAGGACTGGTCCAAGGATCAGGTCTTGGTGCAGGACTGGTCCAAGGATCAGGTCTTGGTGCAGGACTGGTCCAAGGATCAGGTCTTGGTGCAGGACTGGTCCAAGGATCAGGTCTTGGTGCAGGACTGGTCCAAGGATCAGGTCTTGGTGCAGGACTGGTCCAAGGATCAGGTCTTGGTGCAGGACTGGTCCAAGGATCAGGTCTTGGTGCAGGACTGGTCCAAGGATCAGGTCTTGGTGCAGGACTGGTCCAAGGATCAGGTCTTGGTGCAGGACTGGTCCAAGGATCAGGTCTTGGTGCAGGACTGGTCCAAGGATCAGGTCTTGGTGCAGGACTGGTCCAAGGATCAGGTCTTGGTGCAGGACTGGTCCAAGGATCAGGTCTTGGTACAGGACTGGTCCAAGGATCAGGTCTTGGTGCAGGACTGGTCCAAGGATCAGGTCTTGGTGCAGGACTGGTCCAAGGATCAGGTCTTGGTGCAGGACTGGTCCAAGGATCAGGTCTTGGTGCAGGACTGGTCCAAGGATCAGGTCTTGGTGCAGGACTGGTCCAAGGATCAGGTCTTGGTGCAGGACTGGTCCAAGGATCAGGTCTTGGTGCAGGACTGGTCCAAGGATCAGGTCTTGGTGCAGGACTGGTCCAAGGATCAGGTCTTGGTGCAGGACTGGTCCAAGGATCAGGTCTTGGTGCAGGACTGGTCCAAGGATCAGGTCTTGGTGCAGGACTGGTCCAAGGATCAGGTCTTGGTGCAGGACTGGTCCAAGGATCAGGTCTTGGTACAGGACTGGTCCAAGGATCAGGTCTTGGTGCAGGACTGGTCCAAGGATCAGGTCTTGGTGCAGGACTGGTCCAAGGATCAGGTCTTGGTGCAGGACTGGTCCAAGGATCAGGTCTTGGTGCAGGACTGGTCCAAGGATCAGGATCCTCTGCACAGGTGTTTTCTTGTAAATAACACATTTATCCTAATAATGTCTTTGCTTACACATTTACAGAAATGTTCATTAATGTGTAATGTCCCTGTCAAATAAACTAATAATACCATACTAAACCATACTAAACCATACCATACCATTTACCATACTAAACCATACCACACCATACCATACTAAACCATACTAAACCATACCACACCATATACCATAATAAACCATACTAAACCATACCATACCATACTAAACCATACCATACCATACCATACTAAACCATACCACACCATTCCATACCATAATAAACCATACTAAACCATACCATACCATACCATACTAAACCATACCATAGATGGTTTAGTATGGTATGGTATACCATACCATACTAAACCATACCATACCATACCATACTAAACCATACTAAACCATACTAAACCATACCATACCATACCATACTAAACCATACCACACCATTCCATACCATAATAAACCATACAATATATACCATACCGTACTAAACCTTACCATACTAGACCATACCGTGCTAGACCATACCATACATAATTTTGACGTTGTATTGTTGATTACACTGACTGCAGCGCTTTGAAAAGTGCTATACAGATAAATATGTATTATTATTTATCAAAGAGATCAAAGTGAACCGTCTCTGACTCAAAGCGGCTCCAGACTCTTCAGTCTCTCCAACCTGTGATGCTGCAAGTGTCCAGAGGAGGGCGCTGTTGCTCCTCGTTCACTTGGATTCAAAACGTCACACATTAAACATCGCAGTAAAAGCAGTTTTTCACATTTGTTTTATGTTTTTCTGTGACTGACTTTTCAAAACGAGCACGTGACACTCATGAGACTTTTATCCAATCACCTGAGACAGAAGTTCAGGATCGTTTGTGTTCTCGCGAGAGGTGGACTTCAGTCTCGTTTTGCCCCAAACACAGGTCACACAAGCCCAAGCCCCGGCGATCCAAGATGGCGCCCTATTCAAATGAATGGTTGTGCTCAGTGGCGCTTTGTGACGGCATGGGGGCTGAAAAGATTAGCGGAAGTCGCCTGGAACTCTCAAAGATCTATGGGAAACTCGCCTGTATTTGGGCATCGTCTGGTCCTCCCGGTTCTGCGCAGTGGATGATCTCCCATAATGCATTGCGTCAAACACGCGTGTGTGGGTCTCACACCAGGTCTCACGCACGTGCACAGAGGGGCTCGGCCGCGCTCTGACCAATTTGTATTTGTATTTATTACGATCTCCATTAGCTGTATAAAAACAGCTATTCTTCCTGGAGTCGTTGTCTCACATACATTTTGAAAAAAAAAACATTTCGCTCCTTGGCGTCACATGTGAAAAACAGAAATTATTACATTAAAAACACAACAACAGAACACAGAATACAACAAAACAAATAATACTAACAAAAATTTAACTTACATAAACATCCACTCACTTTCACACACACGCACACACGGAGGACCTGGTTAGTATGAATGCAATCTCAGTAACAGTGGACAGCAAGATTTAAATGCAACACTCAGAGCAGTTCATCAGAGCGAGTTAGAGCGAGAGCCAGACGAGCAGAGTTTGTGGCACCAAAGTGTAGATTTAAAGAAAACCGAAGGATTTAAGAAGAAAAAAAGTTCAGGACGACAAGGGACACTAAAATCCACACAAAATACTATCTTTATTAAAGCTGTAGGTTCTCTGTCAGGTTCTCTGTCAGGTTCTCTGTCAGGTTCTCTGTCAGGTTCTCTGTCAGGTTCTCTGTCAGGTTCTCTGACAGGTTCTCTGTCAGGTTCTCTGTCAGGTTCTCTGTCAGGTTCTCTGTCAGGTTCTCTGTCAGGTTCTCTGACAGGTTCTCTGTCAGCTGAGGTTGAGCTGTTTTAATATGCATTGAGTTCTATGGGGAAAATTTCTGGGTAGCCCACGTGAATTTAGTCTGGTTCAGTCTGGTTCAGTCTGCAGTACCGCGAGAATCCCCTGAGCACATGAGTTATTCAGCTACAAGCTGTAACACTCTATCCAGTTAATATAATACATCCATGCACAAGCCCCGTCCCAATACTCGCACTTCCACCCTCGCGCCCCTCATTTGCGCGTTCCCGATAAAGGGTGCGAGTGCGTAGGGTGTCCCAATTCTCCAGGGAGGTCTTTGGCCCCGCCCCCTTTGCGCCCCTGAGCCACGCTTCGCCGTAGCCTGCATCTATGCGCACTCTGGCGAAGGATATTGGCCATAATTCTTTGCGGTACACACCAAAACGTCGGGAAAATGCATTTAAATATACATTTTGAAATATATATGCAGTATGTGTGTAAATAAGTTTTGCTGTTACTTGGAAAGAAGCATAAACGTCTGATGAAGAATTACGGACATTGTGTTTTAACAATTTGATAACTTTTTAAACCAAGCGTTTATAAAACATTCAATTTAAACTTTACACTTAGTACAATAATCTTAGAATGTATAAAAACTGACCAGATAGTTAGTTACCCACATTTAACTTAAAATTATACAGCTATCTCTAATTAAAAACAACTAATATACATGTATTTTAACGTGTGTGAAGCAATTCAATTTGTTTCCCAAAGGGTCAGACAAAATTACCTTTAATTTTTATAAAGTTTAGGTCTGAAAATGACCGTCTCTGACGAGTCGATGACGTCACCTGCACTCAGTCTGAACTGTCCCAATTCCGCCTTTTGAGCACGCTTGTAACCTGCCACTCAAACCCTGGTGTGCACTTCAAACAAATGCACACTTCATAGGAGGGCGTAGGGTGCAGTGTGGGTGTTGGGACTGGGCCTCACTCTTCAGTTCAATTCAGTCTACATCAGTAATAAAGCTCCGTCTACCACACAAAGTGGATGATTCTCAATCACAGATCAGAAAATCAGTCGATAACACACAAACACACACACACACGTACACAAACACACACACGCACAGACACACACACACAAACACACAGACACACATACACAAACACACATAAACAAACACACACACATATACACGAACACACACGTACACACACACACACGTACACACACACATACACAAATTCACACACACGTACACAGACATGTACACACACACACGTACACACACACGTACATACACACACACACGTACACACACACGTACACAGACACACACACATACACACACACACACACACGTACACAGACACACACACGTACACACACACATACACAAATTCACACACACGTACACACACATGTACACACACACACGTACACACACACGTACATACACACACACACGTACACACACACGTACACAGACACACACACATACACACACACACACACACACGTACACAGACACACACACGTACACACACACATACACAAATTCACACACACGTACACACACATGTACACACACACGTACACACACGTACATACACACACACACGTACACACACACACACACGTACACGCACACACACGTACACACACACACTATAGTACACACGTGCACACACACGTACACACACACACGTACACATACACACACGTACACACACACACGTACACACACACACACACACGTACACACACACACACACACGTACACACACACACGTACACACACGTACACACACACACACAGAATGGAACCCTAGTATTTTTTGTTAAAGGCACAATGCTGTTTTCCAGGCCTGTGGAGAGACCCCTCCTTAAGACTAAAGTTAAAAATGTGTGCAATA